GAGTCTTGAGCGGCTAGAGAGTTTTGACAGCGTTCATTGACGGATCCTTGAAAGATTTCACTCTTTTTCGACCGCTTTCGTATCTAGGCACTGCTTGTTTTCTGCAATTCTGTGCTGACCACAACGTGTGATTTTTGCTCTCCGATAACTTTTCGTAACTTTTTGTAACTTTTTATAAGTTTTTATAAGTTTTTCTAAGTTTTTCTAACTTTTTTTATCTTTTTTTGCGAACTTACTACCTGCGGATAACTGTCTGTATCTGTTGCGAAGTTAGTTATAAGTAGATGCAAGTTCCGTTAAATCTGTGTAACCTCTATATCTTGTCTGTAACTCCTGCGGCTGGTCTTAGTGTAGTACAACGAGACCGAATGCCAGGCTCTCCGCAATCTGGCCGCTTGGATCTGAGCTTCCGCTCCCAACTGGATCTTCCCAAGCCAAGGTTCCACCTTGGCCTCGGCATCGAAGAAAAAGCGGAATTCTTCCAAATTGGCGATGCCCGCCTTGGAAAGCGCTCCCACTACCTCCGCTGCCAATTGAAAATTCTTGCCGAGCCTGTCCAGGCAATCGGCTCCGTCTGACGGGACAAGGGAAGTCGCCATGCGATTTCCAGGTGTCAATAATTACTTGGGCCTCAACTGACTCCCCAAACACATGAGTGGGGGGGGGAACGGAGGGGACACATGACCGAAATCAACCTAACCCTCAACTGTTAAAAATTGCATGGAGGATGACCCCTGGCGTGCACTCGCCGGTAGCTCCGCATGCCGCGACCGACGGCCGTACGGGAGGTAACGCCCCCCGGCCTCCTCCCTGGTATCCCCAGGGTGCCTGCCACGGTGCATGGTAAATCGGTTGAAACTGTTTGAAAAACGAATGCCACATGGTCGACTGGCTATGCTCCGTGACTCATGCATGTCGAGGCAATCCACTGCCTGGTACTGCCGCTCCCGTTTTCCACACGGAAGAATGTGTCAGGCAAATGCCCCGCGGCACTCCTATGGCGTGCAAAATGGGGGACTAAATTCGGGCAGCCCGAATCCGGCGCCCATGGCCAAAATTGGCTCACTGGGGGAGGAAACTAGCCGGGCACTTGCTCAGGCAAGTCCGGCAAAAGCGCTGCTCCCATGCGATGGCCTCGAACTTGTCCGAGGTGGTCAGCGGATAGGCCAGACGGTCAGCTCGGCGCGCCGCCTGCTTGTGCTGGCATAGCGGGTATCCCTTGGCCGTGCTGATGTGGACCTGCAGTGGCCATGAAACCGGTGCACTCCGGCTCAGACGCACCTGCTCATGAGCCCGCCAGCGCCTGGTGCACCCATCCGGCCAGCTTGCGGTCCTGCAGGGTCTTGGTGATTTCCACATCGCGGCATCTCCTGATCTCCCCCGCCGCGTCCGCCAGGCTGATTCCCTTCAGCATCGCCAGCCACATCGCCGCAGCAAGAGCGGCTCGGTGACGCCCCGCCATGCAGTGGACGATGACGACGTCTCCGTGATAGAGCGAGCGCCGCACCAGGGGCCACACCCTGTCCCAGTCCTCCTGCCGTCGGTCGGCGTGGGCGATGGCGAAGTACTCCACGTGAGCCCCGGACAAGGGCACACCTTGCCGCTGGGCCAGCCTCTCCGGGAAGCAAACCACCTGGAGGCTGCATGCTGGAAAGGCTGCGGCCGTGACGGCCGTGGGGATGCCCGCCAAAAAGAGGGCTCCTCCCCGCACGTTGTTGTAGAGCAGCGATGGGGTCTGGGCGGACTTCCCCCGCACGGTCGCCAACCGGTCCCATTTGCTGTCAGCTGGGTTCAAATCCAGGCACTCCGGGATCTCCAAGAAGTTGCCCGGGAGCTCGGCTGGTTCTGCCGGGCGCCTGGTATCCACCGAGGCAGGAACTTCGCCGACCTCCGCATCCTCGACCTCCACAACGCGGTTGGCTGCTGCGGCCTCGCGGAGCTCCTCGGCCGACGGTCTGGATGACATGGGCCCGGCCGGGGCGGCGATTGGCAGCGGCGGTGGCAAAATCCTTCGGCGCTTCTGAGCCGGCGCCTCCGATGGCGCCCCTGCGGGGCGGGTCGCCCCCACCTCCACAGGGTCAGCCGGCACAGGCAGCCCCAGCTCGCGAAGCTTCGCCTCCGTCATGCGCCGCTTTGCTCGGCACTCGCTTGCCGGGTGGCGTCCTCCACACGCCCTGCCCGTCTGCTGCAACATCGCGCACAAGTGCTCCCTTGCGCACGGGTCCTGGCGGCATTCGCCTGTGTTGAAGTCCGGGCACAACGCTGTACCGTTCTTCAGATGCCCCGTGAGGAAGATCTCGCCCAGCCTGGCTGGCATGGCCCTGGCCGATGGAGCCGGCTTCCTCATTCGCTCACGGGCGCTGTGCACGAGCGACTGGCTCAGGGAGAAACGCCGCTTCAGCGCCGTGGTCTGCGGTGCCTGGGCCCAGATCACCTCTGTGTCCCCTCGGCAAGCCTGAGCGGCCTTGATCTTGGCCTCCTCGTCGGCGGCGACCTCCTCCTCGGTGACCGTCTCCCAGGCCTCGCAGTCCGCAACCTTGGCCGCCACGAGGAAGGCTCTCATCTTGGTACGCATGGACAAGGCGTACTTTCCGCCACTGTAGTGGAACGGCATCGCAACACGCTCCTCGACCTTGTCCTGCCAGTCTCCCAGGGAAACGATCTCCGCATCCTGAAGGCGGATCAAAGAGCCCACCGTCGGCAGCTATCTCCTCCAGGAATAGCTGGTGAGCTGCTCGAGGGGCTCCACCACGCCATGGAAAAGGTGCTGAGTCACTCTCTGCACCTCCCGGATGGGCCACGCCTGGCCAGAGGGGTGAAAGCAGATGCCGCACTTGTCGTGCTGCTCCGGCGCTAGCCCCTGATAGTCCTCCAGCCACTTGTCGGCCCAATGCCAACCGTTGGAGAAACGAGCTGGTGCACACCAGTCGAATCCTTGCCGGTTGTGGGACTGCTTCCCTTTGCGGCAGTGGCCGTGGAAGAACTCCCTGCTGACCTTCACCGGCGTGGACAAGCACAAGTGCTTGTAGCGCAGGCAACCCGAAGCCACGAGCCACGACGACAGCGCTGCTGTCCAAGCTGGATCTCGGGCTTGCTGCATCTCGATGATCCGGCCCTCCAGGGTGAGCAGCATGGGCGGTTCCACCACCACAGCCTGGGACCTCGCCTTGCGCACCTTCCCAATAACTTTGGGGGGCTTCAGGCGGTCCAGCTGCCACTGCAACCTGCCGTTGTTGGACAGCCAGCGCAATGACTGCAGCGCTCGCGATGGCGACATAGCCTGCTCAAGGAAGGCGTGAAAGTCCAACTCCTCCGGGTCCTGCACGCCCCTGGCTGCCAGGAAGAGCGAGAGCTCCTGGAAAGTCCTCACCGCGTTCAGGATCGTGGTCGCCTCGGACTGGGTGACTCACTCCTGAGCCAGCCTCCGAACCGCCTGCTGCCAGTCGGCATAGCGACCCGGGTTGTCGTACCTCCGGGGCCGAAGGACTCCCAGCTTCATGAAGGCCTCCGTCAGCAGGTTGACCCTGCGGCCCACTGCTTCGGCGTTGTCCGGGTTCTGCCTCAACCGCAGGCCCACGTTGCTGGTGGGGAGCCGCACCGCCGGCCGACGGAGGGTCGATGGCCCCACCGGCGTCACTCGCCAGGGGTCCACCTCCACCACTGCCGCACCTGCCGGGAGGAGGTGGGCCTGTTGCTCCGCCCGCACCCGCGCCCATTCAGCGGCGACGAAGTGGCCACCCGCGCGGACCGCATCCTCGAAGGCCTCAAAGGCGAAGCCGAAGTCGGAGTCCTGCAGCAGCCCGTGCTTCTGCCGAAAGGCTCGAACATTGGCCTCCTGGACACGAGACATCAGCCCCTCGCCAGAGCCGCCCGGGTCGCCCCCGGAGTGCTCCATGGCTTCGGTGGCATAGCGCCCAGGAGTGGCATCACCGCGAAACGCCATGGCTAAGAGCAGCGCCCCCCAGCGTAGAGCCTTGGCAGCAGCGGATGGGGCAGGCTTCGCATTGATGGATGCCACATGAAGCGCACACAGAGTGAGTCCTGCATCCGCAGTAGGCGCAAAGCCCGCCCAGAGGGAGGTTCCTCCTGCCCTCGTCCACCACCCACGGAGAAGCCTCCCCGCTGTGGCTCTGGCCAGGGAGTCGCTCTCCCTGAGCCATGGCTCGGTCCACCTCCGAGCGCCCAAGCTCCATCTCCTCCAGGTCCCCATGAAGCCCCTGAAGGACACGAAGGGGAGGTCGCCAGATTCCACCCGGCCCGCAATGGCGGAGACATACATCGGGATGATGTCCTGGGCGCGGAGGCCACTGCCTGCTTCAGCCACCATGGCCTCAGACAGGAGATCCTCCTCATAGCACCCATGGTAGGCGGCCCAAGCCTCCTCTGCAGATACGCCTTCTTGAACCAAGACTGCACGCCGGCACCAGGTGCCAATGAACGGGAACTTGAAGCCGCCAAGGGACCCGTCACATCTCGCACACTGGGCATCAATGCAGGGCGCAAATTGCAGGTGGGGTATCTCCCCACTATCAACCAAGGGCAGGGGAGCTTGCACGAAAGGGGCATGCAACACTTCCACAGCCGAAAGCCAGAGCATCCGGGCCTCGCCATGCTTCCCCTGCTCCAGCAAGTTGCCCACATGGCGCTTGAAGTCGAGGTAGGCGCCTGTGGACAGGATAGGACGATCCGTGTGCACGGCCAAGTCAACTCCTGGAACTGCCAACATTCGACAAGTAACACTTGCCGAACCCGCAAACCAGAAGTTAAAATTTAGCCAGTTTGGATCATGCTTGAGCCAAAAGGCCCCGCATGATCCAATACTCTCCTTGCAGAATGAAGCCTGTAAACCCAAGCCTTCCAACCTGATACAGGATTAGGTTCTCCCGCCACAGTAATTACTCTTCATAATTGAACCTGTCAAAACTGCTCAACGCGTGGCCGCGACCATTAGCTTGTGCTTTGACTTTGCAAGAGCGCTTCCGTCATCTGAGGGCCCAGGCCCCTACCTCTGCATCCCCGCAGTTCCCCCCCTTGAAACCTACCTACAAGCCTTCTTGCTGCACACGTGCAGCTTGCCAAGGCATGCGCTACCCCCAAATGACTCATGTCTGACTCTATGATCGGGCGGGGTTTTCCGCGCGCAAAGCGGAAGCCCAACTTGGCCATCTCATTAACTGATTGGCTGAGGCTTTGCCTGCAACCAAGACGCTACAAGGGACTCTGGCAAAGCTGGCCTGCCATAATTTGAACATGGTATATGGTGTAGCAAATATACATTCATATTTTCTGAATATATCTCGACACAGAAAGGCTATCCTTTCTAGCCAAGCACTTTGAGTCTCCGCAAGAGAAAAGGCCTGGAACACCAAATGCTTGTTGAACCAGGCCCTGACACTTGCACCTAATCATTTCGGCCAAGCACCGGTTCTGATTGCAGCACTCTTGGAAAGAGCTTTGCGCTGAGGCGGCGAGCTTGCGACCTTTTGTGGCCTCGGCATTTGGCAAGGAGCCAAACCATGAATCCCAAACAGCGGCCCCTATATAATATACAGAATGGGTTTTTGAATCCCACAATTCAGGACGCTCGTCTGAGGCCTGAACAATCGCTCTGCTAGCGTGTGCGCCTTTGAGCTGTCTGATTTTCTGCATGCAATACTGCTAAACTGGCCATCTAGATTTCTTGTGCTTTCACACTCTGTCCCAACTTTTGTTGAAGCAAGGCACCAGTTTTTTTGCTCTCCATCCGCAATGAGTAAAAGGCAAAGACACGCAACGTGGGCAATGATCAAGGCTCCGTATGTAAAGGACAGGGGTATCTACTTGTAGACGAAAACAAGTCCGATAAAATAGACTGACCATCTACCTTAAGCCTGACTCAATTTACAGGAATCGTCAATTCATGTTAAATATGATCCGGACGTCTCTCGAGCTGTCCATAACATCTCACGGGCCTGGGGCGGTGTCCTTGGCCTCTCTGGCATCTTTCCGGGCGAGCCTGGCTTGAGCCGACCACCTTCTTCCCAACACGGTTGCTCAAACACTCATTTGGGTCTCCCTTCCACGGAACCCCGGGCCCGGAAACTATCCATGAGTCTACTCGCCAATGAATCCTTCTCACTATGGCGGCTGCTAACCATGGGGTCCAATAGCTCAGGCGGAACTGCATAAATCCGCTGGGTCCGTTTAGAAACCCCGGAGATAGCCCGAGCAAGCGCCACGCTGGGATTGCAAGGATACTGCCGAACCATCATGACACGCTTGCATCCTTTGCACAGTTCGTGTGGCCGTCTCTCTGGTGCAATGTAGACATGTCGCAGCTCGAGGACTTCTCCGCCTTTTGGAGCTTCCCTTACAGGAGTCCGCGCGCGGCTTGGAGCAGCCTGGCTAGCCAGGCCGAACAGGCCCAGTGGTGCGGCGTGTCAGCATGCGATCCTGAACATCCGGACATTGTGAAAGGCTAAAGGCCAAGTAGTAACAACAAAAAGCCAAACATCTGAGGCAGTATTACAAGTCTATCAGCCAAAAATAGCAGCCCGTTCATGGCTGCAAGCCTTGGACACTGCGAGATCTGGTGGAGGTGTCTTTGAGCGAGGGCCTGGCACCATGCTGAGCGACCCCCCATTCACAGACATCGACTACATGAACAGTTGTCAACTGTGAAGGCAGCAACGGAAACTTGTTTTGCTCGTCGCTGCATGCATAGAGCAGTAACACATCGTTCAATTGGCAGTACAAGCAGCGGTGTTCACGCGTCGTTGTGCTCAGCGAGTAGTAGACTTAGTAGACGTGAGCATTTGCCCATCAGGGCATAGCCATGCCCTTCAAGCAGGCTGATAACCATGCAGCCACTCAAGCCACTCAAGCCAACCTCATCTGCCACTCAAGCCTTCACCACTCAAGGTGGCGCCCGCAACCCAGCGAACCCAGGACGGTGGTGCAAACGAAAGCTCTGATGTGCACAATGAGTTGCAAACACTTCCCATGGCATCCTTCTCGTCTTGCAGCGCTCCTGGCAAATGTCATCCACAAAGTCTCGCCCATGGAACCGAAGGCGGGAACCAGCAGGGAGACAATACCAAGCAAAATGACCACGGTTTCAATGATCTGGCCATACTGCTACAACACCCAGCAGCACAGCGGCAAGGAAGGCAAGATCACCATGACCAAAACAGTCGCCCTGCCACCAAAGGAGCTGCCATACAGGGACACCCCCACCCAAGCCTGGGGGACTCTCTCTGCAAGATGCAAGCCGCCGAATCAATGAGGGCTCCCGGTGCACGCGCGGCGTGGCACGGCGCAGCGATCTTTCGCCTTCTCAAGCAACGAGCATTGCGCCAGCACTGGCTTCTCCAGCCTGGTGCCGTCAAAGCTCACCACCTGAGGCTACGCCGCTGGCAGTGAAGGCCCAGGCAGAGTCGTGGCAGCCAACAGCAGCGCTCGGGACGACACACATAGCTTCTGCACGTAAACTGTACAAAGGCTGGCAAGGGTCAACGCTAGAATGCTTGAGCCAAAGGCACAAATGAAAACTCATCTGGTCCCTTTCGGAGGTGCAAATGTTCGGTCACACCCTCCGCTCTGCCGCCATTGATGCGTCTCACCTCCCTGTTGGCCATGCGATCTCGGCGTCGGTGTGCGTTTGGGCGGAGGCGCCACGACCTGCGCCGGCTCCACCTGCCGCTCTGACAGTGACCTGTGTCACGGTCATAGTTCGCCCGAGAGGCGCAATGTAGTTGCAAGCTCATGAAAAGGGTTGGTTTATCAAATCCCGAGTGACAATGTGTTCCAACTGCTTTGACCAATGCCACAGCACAGGCCCAGCCTGAGACTGAGCCTGGGCGCTCCTTGGCGGCGTTATGGCCCGTGGCAGCGTCGTGGCCCGTGGTGGCGTCTTTGCCCGTCTCGGCGTCGTGGCCCGCCGTTGCCCGCCTCGCCGCGGGCATAAGCGAGGCAAACTCCGCGACCTGAGCGCCCTGCCTGGTGCCTCACCCTGTACGCTTGAGGCAGTCTGAGCGTTTGGAGCGTGTGGAACAGTCAAAGCAGGTTTGCTCTTGGCAACCATGGCGACCTGAGCGACGGCGATGTCATGTTGTGCGGGCACAAACTAACTGCAACTGGTTTGCTCGGTCAGCTGGACATGCACCACACTGGCAGCGACCTGGGCTCCGCAAACTGTGCTCCTTGTAGAACAACACCCGCTTAAGCGGCAGGCTGCCCTTATCCACGTCTGTCAGCCCACCTGACTCACAGCCCAAGCATGCGCCTCATTGGTCTGGCCATCTCTTCAAGGCCTACATGCCGGGCTGCACTTTGCGCTGGCCTCAAGTTGGCACCGATTTCTTTGGTTGACAACACCAATGCCAGGTGGGCCAAATGGACAGCGGTATGCAACTCCTTCTAGGGTGCCGGCACCAACGCCGAATGCCCAGGCAGCGGAGCCTGCTCAAGCCACTCGCAGCACAGAGATCCAGTCCATAAACGCATGGTTCTCCCCGAATGAAACATGAGTGAGTGACAAGTTCCTTGTTGGCCAGACACACACGTGCATTTCCTTTAGGAGCCTCGCGTCACCAAATGCAGGCAGCGCTCCTTCCACCAACTATTGAACCCTGCATGCGGCCTCGCGCGCTTCCTCCAGCTCATCGCCAGCGTCATGCCTCCTGTACCCAAACGCGGGGGGGGGGGGGAAGAGCGGGAAAAGGAATAGACCACCCCACCACCCCAAAGATATGAACCAAAGCAACGAAAAACGTGGGTGCAGGCAGCGCGTCGTCAAATTGTCGTCTCGGCGCTGCAGGTCTTGTTTCCAAGTTGTCATGCGCCAGTGACCGCAGCCTCAACCACAACTAAGCATTTGGACCGAACACATATCTGCATGTGCCAAACGAAGGTCTTCATAAGACCTTTGCCAATTTACTGCACCAAGTCTCTCAGATGGGCCCGCACCCACAGCAGGGTATGTAGGCATACATACATATTGTGTGTGTACTCACCAAGTCAACGTCACAATTACTTGTTTGGGGTGTATTAATTCCGATGCGAGGACGTCCCGCATCGTCTTTCATGTTTTGTTCTCAGGGTTTAGGGTATGTTTGCTTGCATACCCGCATCGTTTCTCAAGAACAACCAACAACACCATGTGCGTGGAAAACACCTTTCTTAAAGTATTTGACGGCATTCTTGAAGCTAATATATATATATATACATATACAGATTACCAAACAAATAGTATCCAGGGCGCGTGGCGCGACATAAGCACGCAATCTGGAGGCGGCGCGCTTGGGAAAAACTGGCCCAACACCGCGCTGTCTTGCTTCTGGCTGCACAGGAGTGGCAAACCGCAGAAAGTTGCTTCCCAGTGTTGCGACTGCAGTTGGCAACTGAGTTGTCTTGACTGTCTTTGGCGCAACTTGCGCTGGACTTGCGCCTTCCTTGAGCGAGCCAATGATTGACTTGCCCTTCTGGTCTTGCAGCAATCTCCTGCTCTTGAAGTTCCAAGCGGCGGTGCAGCGAAATTAATGGGTCAAAAACCATTTGGACCATCCCATCCATGGACACACACACACACGCACACACGCGCACTGGAGTTTGTTGGTGCCACGTGGCGAGATCTGAAAGTCGTTGATGCTCCTGGCCTTACCTGGGTGTTCACAGGAATTATCAACACATGTTGATGTCGTAGACTGATCCTAGCGACGTCGCTGTTTAAAATTGGATTTATCCAAGGAGTTTCGGCGGAACTGCTCTCGTTTCAGTTTCCCACGGATTGGCCGCATCGGGCGCCCACCCTTCCAATCCAGGGAAACGAGAAACGGGCAAACAACTCCCTGGCCGAGGAGTGGCTGCCAAAGCATTTCCCGGTGGGCGCGACTCCTCAAATCATAGGAAAAGGCATGCTTGAATCTAGCATGTTACACACACATACACACACACACACACACAATTTGTTGCTGCCTTTCACAAACTCTTCCAGCAAGCTTCTGCGGCTCGAGCCCTCCTTCCGCCCACAAATTTGCGGACAAGCAATTCCGCAGACTGCAGAGGTTCGGTTTCGTTCTCCAGTCGCAGTTTTCTTACCTCAAACTTGGGGTTTTCGATGGTGGTCAACTCTAAAAACCAGGATAAAGTTCATGGTTGCCGACATCAGTGATTGATCAATGTGGCTTTTTGCTGCCATAGTGCAGCGATACGCGGCCCTGGCTGCAAGGCAAGGAATCTCTGCCCTATCCAAACCGGGGTTTGGTAAGGGCCCCATTGGCTTGGAGGGTCTTTTGCGAAGAAAACCGCCGACAAGTGCGCAGTTTTTGCCGGGGTCTTTTGAACAAAAAGGCTGCACACCGAGTTGTGACCGTGCAATCCTCACTCACAAGAGCAACTCACATTGGCCTCTGCATTCTTCCTCGACAGCATCCTGCTGTGTGGTCAAATGCTCCGTTTGTGTTGCGGTGGCGGTGTCTGGGTGATGCTGCGCTGGTGGTTTGCAGCTTGCCACTCTTGCAGCAGCCTTCGACGTTCGCAGTCCCACGCGCAGCTCGCAAGAATCACATTTCCCCCCAAGTTCTCTTACTAACGGGTACAAGTCCAGCTGCTCATAAGTTCTCCCGGCATGCATGTGTCATCCTTAAGCTCAGCTCGTCACAGCAAAGGCATGGCATAGCTGCCCAGGCATCGGGTCTATTCTTCCTTGCAACAGGCGTCCTTGGTGTCCGGCAATTTCTTGCAGAAGCCGAGCGCTTCATTGTCGCCTCCAATGCCCAAGAATAGCAATGCAAACGAGTCTTCAGGCGACACACTCACACACAAACACAGCCGGCGGGTGAATCTGGCTACACGCACGGATATGGTGACCTGCCTCATGATTCCGCGGGCTCTTGTTGCGCTGGCACCTCCAGTCTCTTGCTACACTCTGAAGCTCATGTTTTCACGCACGCTCAGGTGCTTAGGCTACCACATGTCCAGTTCTTCTTTTTGCTGGTATTCCTAGCAACTGCCGCCAGGAAAAGCCAACTGCCGGCCCGCAGCATGTGCATATCTCGCTTTCAACATGCACTCCTGCCAGAGCTTTCTTTCCTCCTCACGTCGACTTGCATCACCGTAAAGCAGCTCGAACCTTCATGTGCCAGGGCTTGACAGGTCATGGCTCCACTATCTCCACTCTAGCTTGCTCTTTTTCTGGCAACAGCTTCCATCCTAGCCACAACTACTCAGTCATTCCATCGTGAACTTTTGATATCGCATTGAAGAATTATCTGACACAGAATTATAATGAAATCTGACAAATCGCCATGAGTTCCCTTGATCAATGCCTTACACCTCAGCCACTGCAAGCTGATCCCAACCTTGAGGGGCCACTTGACGCTGAGCGCACGGGCGCCTGGACATCAAAGATGAGGCATTTTGGGTCGATTACTACAGGTTTAGGTTGCATGGTTCTGTCATGTTTTGTCAGCGTGATCAACAGATCTTTCGTAATTATTTGTTTCAATTGCAAAACACGCTGGCATGCTGCCTGGCCTTGTACTCTAAGCTTTGCTGTTGTCGTCTTGCCTCCTGTCAGCATTGCAGCATGTCTGGAGTGAATGACAAAGCAAGCTCAATTCGATAGACGGTTCTTGCGCGCTGCCTTTTGCCAAAGCTGAGCCACGTAGTGAATGGCACTGAGATCCAGCGCGGTGTTTCACCCTGCCTCTTGGTGACTTGTGAGAGTCTATATTGACAAAGATGCCGCGTTCAACACGACAGCAGGCCCACCGCTTCGCCAGCGAAAACGGTTCGGCTCACTTGGGACCAAAGCCCGCGGGCGCCGGTGCCGGCGCTGGGGATGGTGCAGCCTCCTGGTGGAGCACTTGATCTCTGAAGGTGACATCAAGAAGGGTCGTCTATACCCGATCCGGCAACCTACCACATACCATGCTTCTTTTGGTAAGCGTGCTTCCCCTACATAGTGTTTATTCAGCACTTCGCCATTGGGCCATATCATCGTCGACATTCAGTAGCTTGTGTGTGGTATAGCTGGCAATGATTAAGGGCTGGTCATGGCTTCCTTCACGAATCAAACACGCTTGATGATCAATCCTTAGGCGATCGACCATCCCCAATACTCTCCCGCCATGGAAGGAACCTGGCAAAGAATCAATTAGCTTCCCAGCAAACGGAGAGTTTGGTGCCTGGAGCTCCTGTTGCAAGACTCAATCTGGGCAACAGCACGCAACAGCATGCAACAGCTTCCGGCTCCTGCATCTTCCTTTGGTCCAACCTCAGTGGCGCTCGTGAGATATGCCGCAACCAAACATGAAAACATCTGCAGTTTGCAGAGAGTGGGAACCTTCATGACCTTTCAAGAAGCCTCACTCCAGCATGCATGGCTGAAACGAGATCGCATCAATCAAGCTGCCGCCCCCTGGAAAAGAAAGCGGATGAATTCGGAAAAGAAGAAGCCCTGCAAAGATTCAGTCGTCGCACCATAGAATGACCAAATGCTTTGAAGTTTGGAGTATGGCGTAAAACAAGCGAATCGTTGTCACTCAGGGAGCTGCGGGCCTACGGCATCTCCAACCTGCGCCACAAGAGTCCAGTCACAAAGCAAACTGCGAGCATGAAGTGGCCAGGTGTATGGTCTATTGATTAACTCTTTCATCAGGCATTGACCAATGGTTACAATGATGCCAAAGCTTGAGCAATTCTCTTTGCCCATGATGCAAACGGCAAACAGCCATCTCCATCATCATCCTTTCCTCAAATCGTCGCCTGGGTATAAGCACTCATACATCGTCGCCTGAACTCAGGATCCCCCCGGGCAACATTCGCATTTCCTTTGCTTGGGATCGAGGTTGAACAAACATACTGGCGCTTCGCCTATTTCTTGCTAAGCACCCACTGCGAAAAACCGAACGTCAGCACCATCGCGCGCCTTGGCGAGGCCCTTCCAGGCCACTTCCGTTTTCCCGCTCCTGAAGCTCGGATTTACTGGGCTGCTCGCTCAGGCGAGGTGGCACGTGCTGGACAAGCCCACAGCTCATCGCCCTCTCTGCCAGGCCACGCTTTTGGTCCGGCCGAGGGCTTCTCGGGCGCCGTGTCTGTCTCCATGCGGTAGGCAAAGGGAAGTTCTGGCCAAGACACCAAGGTCTCGAAAGACAAACAGAAATCTCAATCAATGGTTCGCGTGCGGCGTACTAGATATTCTGCGCTTGCCACCTCTTGTACAAAGCGCCCTCCATTCTCCCTTACGTGCAAAGCTTGCTTCTAACAAGGGTTTGGAAGAGTTGGGGCACAAGGCCTCTCTAGTCAAGGCATCATTTGTAGTGACTTGAATTCAAAGACGGGGATCGCGATTGCTTGCCTTCGAAATCACAAACTGCATGTAGACATACAAACGGCCGCTGAATACACGTGTCAAACAAGGCCTGCCTGACACCGTCTTGTTGCCCTGGCAGTTCCTTCAGCACATCAGGCAAAACTTCTGCCGGGCGTGCAAAGATCCCTGACTGATAAGGGCGGGACGCAGGGCGTTCGCCTGGAAGAGCAGTATCCAGAATTTGCTTGAATTTGCTGTGTTTGCAAGTCTTTCCCAGAAACAAACGCTTGAACTGGCACGCATCATATACTTGCCATCATCGCACAGATTGACGTCTTCCCCTGGTTTGCTTGCAATTGTGTTCCTGCCACCTTTGACGGACTGAGTAGGCAGCAATTCAGCTTGCACTCTGGCTTGACGCAGCTTTTTGCATCGACCTTGCCTGGCTGTCTGCAAGCTGGTTTGCAACAGTCACGATCCAAAACTCATGCCAAAGGAGCAATCGAACGCGCAAACAGGATCCTCACAGGTCGTCTCACACCTGCAAGGATGTGGTCTGGGTGCAGACTTTGCTGCCTCGATCAAGGGAACTGAGGAGGCTGCCCCTGGCTGTTCCCACATTCAATGCGGCAAACAGGTTCGCCACACACGGTCTGACAGATCGGCGGAGGGCCTCACAGCAAATACATGAGGTCATCAAGTGTCGTGCCTCGTGCCCAGAGGGACAACTGTGCTCTATTTGGGATTCACAAACTACACTTCCCGTCAAACATAGTGCATCGTATGTGATGTGTTTGGGAAACTATTACACAGAAGTCGACGCTTCAGTATCTTGGCATCATCACACGCTGCGCTGTAGAGGCACTACCTCCTTGTTGGAATGTGAAGCACTCTCGGGCTAAGGTGCATGCAGTCGTCTGAGTCACACGTATGCGGTGGACAAACAACCGCGCACTTTGGATCCTCGGCTTAAGCAGCCAACCCCTTCGACCGAGCCATACAAACAGCAGCAATCGCAACCAAGATACCTGGCAAACGTGGCGACACTCCTGGATGCGAAAGTGCGAGGATCAAACCAGCCGCTCTGCGGAATACGGTTGTGTATTGATCTGTGTTTTGCAGGAAGGTTGGAGTTGGTTGCCCACATTGGTTGCCCTTGCATCATGATCAATGCGTCAATGTGGATGATAGCTTGTTTGACTACTGATCGCGCGACTGCCTACTGGGAATTGAGCAAGCACGAACTGTCTAAGAAAGAGTTGCTTGCTCAGTGTGATTTGACAACGTCCCTTGAATGGGTCTAGGTCAAGCGACCATGTTTTTTCTACTTCTGCCTTTGCCTTTCCTGAAGGACCTTCCAGGGACAAGCTGAATCAAACATCCAAGATCGACCCGCCACTAGGGAATGCCGGATTGCGAGGCTTGGCCTTTGAAGTGGGGCAGGCACTTTGGGCCTGGCACCCGTCCTGCTCCGTTGGCTTGCTGCAAGCCGTCACGCAACGCGGCGGCTGGCACACCTTGCTCCAGATAGTCTCCAGCTCTCGAACTAAGATGATCAGCTACAGTGGATTCCCTCGTAGTGAAAACTGAGAAACCCTAAACCCATCTCCTGGCCGAAAACACATGTTGTTCTTCTGGTGGCCCGCGCTCATGCAAGTTTGTAGACTCACATCAGCCATGTGCCAAATCGAGAAACGCCCTGCGACACTGGAATGCAGCTGCTAAGGCTCTTTCAGCTTTGCAGGACTTGCTGCACTCAGGTGCTCCACAATCCCATGCCTGGAATGACAACAACAAAAGCCGAAGCAAACAAAGCTGGGTCCGGCTCAGGGCGTGGCACATTGGGGATGATGACAGTCACTTGGCTTCGCCTCCTTGTCCTTTGGCGCCGTCGTTTCTGGACCTTCACTGCCAACAAGAACACATCGGGGGCTGCAAGAGGCATGCGCATGCACTGAGGCACAGACTGGCGTACCAGGGGTGCAGACCAGCCCTTATTGCAAGGGAACAAATGTGTGGCCCTGGGTTGCGTCCCACATACAAAAGACATTGGTTGGATGATCCTCCAGTTGGGGCACACAACGTCCACAACATCGCCATACCAGCGCTGACAAGTCCGCTACCTTGTGCTTGGTCGAAAGCTTCTGACCCATTTACCAACTGCGGAGACCCCGAAAATTGGCACAAAGTCCGGCGTGCCAGTTCAGAATCTCAGGTACCGGCGTTCTCAGCAGCACTGCCGCATGAGCATGATAGGCACACACAGCCAAAAGCAGCGTCTTCATTGATCAGAGGCTCGCTCCTGCATCCTTAGTACTTTTTCTGTTTATAGGTCAGAAATCCGTGCATGAACTTTTACTGAGGCCTTGGCTGAATGCACTGGAGCTGAGTCTTTGGGCTCTAGCGCTGAGCCAGGCTGCGTTGAGTTGGGCTGTGACCCCCCGTGTATCGAGATCGCCCTCGCATCGCCTTCACTGATGGATGTCCTTGTAGCTAGCCAACAATGCTTGCGGCCGGTTGGAGAATCTCTGGGTGTCTGGGTTTGCAGACGAAGGCCCGCATTGGGATAGTCGAGGCATCGCTGAGGAACCCCAAACATTTATGGTGTTCCCCTATCTTAAGGCACTCGAATGTCAGGGCAAATGGCTCAACGTGGTGATTATGAAACAGCCTTTCGAGCTTGATTCATGGAATGGCATCATCTGGTCATGCCTCAAAAATAGGAAGCCCGCAAACCTCGTGAGTAAAGGCTGTTCATCTCACCACCGTTTGACAAACCAAGTAACCTTTCGTCCCGGGTCTTCCGGTCCAAACCCCGCCTCCAACCGCTCGATCCTCTGCAGGCCATCTTCGTACAGCCGCCTATCCATCAGCTAACGCGGGAGACTCTCCAATAGCGAGCAGATCGACAATGAAATATTATATCCGAGCAAAAGATGTGGCAAACAACACCACATCACAGGAGTGATAGAGCAAACGCCGCTGATGGAGACAGGGATAGACAGGGGAATTTTGTAGCAAGCGGGCCGGGCCACAAAAGGAATGCTTGGAGATTCGCTGGAAGCTACAATGCAAGAGCAAGAGGTGAGTCAAGCCTGGTCCTCTCTTCCAGATCTGCAGCAGAGAGGTTGCGGCTCGCGTGCACAGAGCCTGGGCGAAGCAGCGAATGCTAAAAAATGCGCAGCGCTGGGGGGACACATGTAGTGTCCATACGCCATGCCCATGTCAACGCGGCCGCGGATTCTCAGCGATCAACGAGAGACTGAGGCATGAACCTTCGACCAATTGGCGAGCTTCAGTGGCAGCCTTCAAGTCACCCACAACACCGGCAGACAGTACGGCTGCGTCAAGGCGAGGGACCCGCACCCCTTTCAAATGCTTGGATTCATGTTGGTGTCCAATGAAGCCGTTCAAGAAACGGCCGCGGCCTTGACACATCTCCCAGTGTAGTGCCCTACCATTGCTGAACATGTTGCTTCAAACATAGCAATCCGACAATCTGAGGATGTCCCTCAATGAACCTTACCCCAAAACAAAGCCCTTCATCCCTCGACCTCTCAGCCGCCCCTTCCAGCCCTGCGACAGGGCTAGGGAAGCAACCCCAGAACACTTGCACCCAAAACCTGCTCTTTCATGGGATTTCGGGTCGCCAGTTGAGTAGAGTTGTTCTGGCATGTTTGTGCCCTATACACTGGCAGCCATGCCTCCGCGAAGCCTCCGCAAGCTTGTAAAACTTCTGAGGGGTGCCTATGCGAGCCTTCTGCGCGATCTTTTTTCCCTACCGGTATTGCCTACGCGGTGCCTCAGTGGCATAAAGAGAGTTCCCCCCGAAAACTAAGCGAATACATTGCAAACAAAATATTTGCTATTTCGCCCGGCAAAGTCATCCATCAAACGCGGCTCTGCTCCAAGACCCAGAAGCCTTCTGATGTCAAGTCTTCACACTCGCAACACGCAGCGCTGTTTATTCCACAAGTGGGCAGTGTTTTTTGTTAGTGCTCGGGGCCTATACGCTGCACGCATGCCTACGCGAGCGCCTACGCAACGCCTCTGCGACTGCAAGGGGTGCCTACGTTTGTCTCTTGTCGCGCCTACGCGGACGCCTACGCAAGAAAATCGCGCGCTGCCTTTTTCCAGCTCGAGCTTTGCAATGCCAAGTCAATCGTTGTCTGACACAGATGCAGATGATGTAGAAGAAGCAGATGATGTGGAAGATGATCGCGCTGCCAAAGCGTGATGACATGTTTGATTTCCCAGGGATCCCCTTTGTCGTGGCTCTGAGTCCGCATTTGAGCAGTGTTGTTTTTCGTGGTTCGGGGCCTATACACTACTTGCGCGCCTACGCGAAGGCCTACGCGAGCCTACGCGGCCTGCGAGGGGTGCCTACGCGATCACAAGTCAGCTTCCACAGGTGCCGATCTACGCGGGTAAACGTTGAGTTCAAGTGTCGAAGTGCACTGTGGCAGCTCCAGCTGGAAAATCACAACTTTTCAGTGCAAGTGCAGTTCTGGCAGCTCCGGCTCTAAGATCAGAAATGCAGTACAAGTGAGCAGCGTTTTTTTTGGTGGTTCGAGGCCTATACACTACTTGCATGCCTACGTGAAAACCTACGCAAACCTACGCGGCCTGCGAGGGGTGTGTACGCGAGCACAAGTCAGCTTCCAGGTGCCTACGCGAATGTCTACGCGGGCAAATGTTGAGTTCAAGTGTCGAAGTGCACTGTGGCAGCTCCAGCTGGAAAATCGCAACTTTTCAGTACAAGTGCAGCTTTGGCAGCTCCAGCTCTAATCAGAATTGCAGTACAAGTGAGAAGCCCGCATCTGTCCAAGGATCTGGCTGCCAGAAAAGGCCTGCGTATCCAAAATGCCTTGAAAACCTACGCGAATGCCTACGCGGGGCCTACGCGGAGCCTACGCGGAGCCTACGCGAAGACTCCAGAACAAACAGAAGGAAGGCAAAAGAAGCAAATTCATTTATACTTGGCAAACAGCACTGAGTCATGATTTGTTCAACAAACGCCTACGCGAAAAGCCTACGCGAGGGGTGACACAACAGCCTACGCGCTGAAGCCTACGCGAGCCTACGCCCCCAACCAGGATTGCCTCCGCAAAGTACATGCAGTTCCCTTTTTGTATAAACCCTTTCATTTGATTAAAAAACGCTGCTCAAGTGAGAATCCAACATCTGTCCAAGGATCTGCCTGCTAGAAAAGGTCTACGCACCCACAAGGCCTTGAAAGCCTACGCGGGGCCTACGCGGAGCCTACGCGAAGACTGCAGAAGAAACAGAAGGAAGGCAAAAGAAGCAAATTCCTTCATACGTGGCAAACAGTCATGACTTGTTCAACAAACGCCTACGCGAAAAGCCTACGCGAGGGGTGACACAACAGCCTACGCGCTGAAGCCTACGCCCCCAACCAGGATTGCCTCCGCAAAGTACATGCAGTTCCCTTTTTGTATAAATCGACTTCTCAAAACCCCCCAAAATCGATTTAACAAAAAAAACAAAAACGTAAAGAATCCTCACCACATCACTCGAGAAAGTCCGGCGATTCGACGGCTCTGAGCTCCGGCGCCGTGGCGCTGCGGAGCTGCTCCTTGCGCTGCTCCCGGTGCTGCCCGTCGCGGTAGAGGCGCTGGAAGATCTGGCGCGCGCCATGGCCATGGACGTGCCGTTGACATGGCGAATAAGCTCTTCGGACCCGGTCTTGCTCTTGCATTCCGGTTTTCCCTTTCTGAGGTTCCAAGAAGTCCATGCATTCCCGGGTAGCAATGAAGTTTGGGCTGGCTGCAGAATAAGCGTGCAAGAGCACAAATGTGGCCAAATTACATTTTTACCTACAGACGACATGTACGACATAAACAAGAGCAATAATGACCGGATACGTGTCACCTAATCATAACTTCGATATTAGTGGTTGTTGTATGTTTTTGTAAGTGACTCAAGACAGAGTTTCTTGATTCAGGGCGGATGTGTGTGTGTGTGTGTGGGCGTGAAGTTAGCCAGCCTGCCAATCAGCTTGTGCTTGGAGCGTCTATACTTGTGTTAGAGGTATTTCTGCCATCGGACCAGCGGGTAATCTGCTTGGCAGAGGGAGCCCTGGCCAGGCCAGAAAAGGTTGATTTATCGAGTTTGTCCCTTCAGTATGTCCTCCGGATGCTTTGGTGCATTTGCCAGACAAGAATGCCTCTGCTAGCTGGCATGAACCAAGCAGTGCGTCGCATGCAGGGCCATTGGATATTTCCTGCCCGGTGTATTGGCAAGCCCCCTGGTGTCGAAAGCTTGCACCGTTGCTGGCACCACACGGGCTTTGAAAACCGGGCTCACAGGGCTCGCATGTCAACCTCGGGGGCGCCTTTCCGGAATCCAGAATTTCAACCAGAAACCGACATGAAACGAAGGGGACCCGGATCTTGCCACCTGCCACAGCCTCACGCATAACTCACTGCAGGTGAGTCCTTGTCTGGCTGGACATCCGCGGAGGAGCGATGGATGCAGTTCTGGGCCTTCCAGCGAAGCGGCAATTCCAGACTATAAAGTCCGCAAACATCTAAGGCAATACTACAGGACAACAAACACATGATCGATATCAAGCTTCTTGCCTACCTGCTTCATGGTAGCACGCTGCAACTTGGCATGCGCACTCAACATTCTGGCAACATCGTGCAGCATCCTACGTCTTGTGATGTTCTGCTGGGAGGCCTGTTCTGCTAGAACTTTGTGACAACCAACCGAAAACAGCGGCAATGGCAAGCGACGCCGGCTTTTCGCTGAGGCCTGCTGAGGCGCCAGCCAGCCAGCGCGCCTCCTCCTCCAACGCCCGCTGGCGTTCTTCGCCCAGCCGCTTCTGGAAGCGGCACTTCGATCCAAACGGAACTTGGTCAGGCACTTGGTCACTTGGTCCCTACTCTCCGTCCATGGGGCTACCTGCTCTCAATGGCTCAGACATCCAGTCCCTGAAAGGCCTAAGAAAGCCTCCGCAAACAAACTGTGACAGTAGCGAGGTTCGCAAGCATCACTTGCCAAGACTGCGACAGGGGCAAGGTGTTCAAGCTCCCTCAGCAAACACATCGACAAGGCCGACAAACCGTCAAGACTGCGTAGATGTCTGGTGCCCAAGTTGGCCCCCCCTGTACCATGGGTGAAGACCTTCTTCAAGAATTTCAGGCTGGCACAATTAAAACTTGGAACCTCCCTCTCAGAGCGGGAAGGTCCACGAATAACACTCAAGGTTGCGGGTTCTGGTTTCGGTGTGAGGGGTCCACTGCACCCTCACTCTGTGGAGATTCTAGGCTGGTTCAGAGCTCGTTTCCCCGCACGCGGGTGACTATCCCGCTGCCTCCTTTATGGGAGCGCTGTTGTAGAGCTGCTCCCATCGCGGCGGACCTGCCTAAGCGACATGAGGAGTCTTGAACTGCCTCACCTTGAGATTCGACTTTCACCAGAAAACCACACATGATCACGAGGCTGTTTTGTGCACCCCTACGGTTTGCACCACAAGTTGCAACGCCGAGTCCTCGGTCTAAGCATGCGGCCCCCTGGCTCTTGACTGAGGAGAGCTGAGAAATCTGAGCACTGGTCGCTTCCTTAGTAAAAGAGAGCACGAGCAATACTGGCAGGGCAAGGACCATTCGGCCCCTGTGGCCAAAGTGGCCATCTTTGAACAGCTACATTCGGCAAGACCCCTCCTTTACCCTAAGTGCAGGGCCAGTTGCTCGTGTTCACGTTCAGCCTGCCTCCTGCAGGAGCTGTGGTTTATGCATGCCTACGCGATCAAGTCAGCAGCTCTCCTCCTGCGGAGCTCTGCCTCTTGGTACAGGCGACCATAGATCTTCCCCGCCTACAAGGCACCAGCGACTAGGCGAGTTTCTTGCAAGACACACAAATTCTGCACAGGGAGATCTCAATGTCGCTGGCCTCCTCCTCAGAGGAACATGTACGAATTGTACATCTTTTCCTGCCACGCATGGACGACGGAGACCGTGAAACTGTGCTCTGCTTGTGTAGCTGAGGTGGGCATATGCTGGATGATTGGATGTGTGAACCATTCAAAGACGCTCTGCCAGGAAGGCAGGATACAGTAATTAACGTCCTGAAACAATACTTCTCAGCTGACATAATTTGGTCATTCATATGAACTCGTGTGCCATGATCAAGCCGCCTCGAGTAGGTCATGGTCTGAGTGCCCTCAATCTTGATTCTTACTATGGTCACCCATCTCATTGTCATTGAATGGTGGACCCCCAGTCATTGGGTCCATGATCAGGGCACAATGCATTCAGCAAACACAGACACACAAATGAAAGAACTCACACACACACACACACGCACACGCACACGCAAACGCACACGCACACGCACACGCACACGCACACGCACACGCACACGCACACACACGCACACACGCACACACGCACACACGCGCACACCCGCACACGCACATTAGTGTGTCAATTGCTTCTTGGGAAGCTGGCAAACACTCGCCTCTTTTGATGGCAGTTCCTTTTGCAAAAGATGCCGTTGGTCTCTGGTCGTAGCAAAACCCGAGCTCACAACAAGGGGCAAAGGAGGCAACGGCACTTTTGCCACTGAATGACTCCCAATTCCGGCAAGCAGGCAGGGCATGCAGCTCTTCCAGCTGTTCTGCCTCTTCGCGGTCTGCCAGCTCCTTCAGGAAAGATTGAAGCAAGCAAATCCCAGAAGCACTGGAGTTTTGCAAACGTGATCTATGTCGCATGGACTTCGATTTGGGGGTGAGAAAAACCTTCCTGCTTGTCTGCCACCTGCAACATATCTACAATAGAGGAAATGCCAACACCAAGTCTTGGCAGTTGTTGGATGATGCTGAACGTGCTTCGATGACCTTCATATTTTGCCTAGTTGATCCATTTGAAGTGAGTTCTGAATGCATAAGAGGAACGCATGTGCACTTCGATAAGAGGTTCCCATGGTAGCTTTCTAAGGCCCCAAAGCTTTCCCAAGTTTGTGAGCAAAGACTATGGGCAATCCAAGACACAGGGACACGCAGCCTCAACAAGAAACGAGGTCCAACTTGGTTGATGGGGGCTTTAGCGAAAAGCATTCGGCAGGTGCTGTTTCCAGCAAGTGGGCCTTCATCAGGCTAAGCTTCTCCATCTTTGCCTTAGCCATGCTCCATTGTAGTTGTGCTCGTCGGAACTACAGGTGGACAGTAAACGCATGCGAGCCTCAAAGCGCCTTGGTGCCAATGAGTCAGGCAAACACCCCCAAACCAGCTGACCTGCTCCCTCGGTTCAGCCGCTCCAAGGAGCCTTTTGTCTGATGGTGGTGTTTATGCTTTTCGTTCTGAGAGAAGGCGCTCCAGCCAAGTTGCTGCATGCGAGGCGTGAAGCCTCTGGAAGATATCTGTGGACGCAGGCTTCAGAGCCTGCACGAGTGGAATCTAGGGATGTCAATAGCTGGGAGATGTCTTCAGACTTTCTTTGTTGATGCAATCATGCATCTGGTCAATGATTGGTCAATGTCCCTGTCATGCTAATTCACCTTCGAATGGGTGAGTCGGCACCTCATGTGTGCAATGGTCAAGCCATCATTTGGTGTCGCTCAGCAATTGTGCAACCAGGGGATGTTATTGAGGGTTGCCTGCAACTCAGCAAGTCTGAGGTGTCTTGTAACTTCTCCAAGCCTCACCAAATTTGACGCCTGTAAATGCCCGCCTAAATAATATGGGCTATTTGAACTGCTCGAAGCCTCTCAACCAGCCTGGCCCGGAGCGACCCGGATCTTCTCCTCCTCCCCCTGGCATGCGCGCATTCCAAGCCCTCCCGACTTTAAGCCGCTGTACTCAATAGCCCACTCCAAAAATAAATCAGCACAGCCGTCGTGGGCCATAGCCCCCATAGCTGCCACGGCCAAGAGGCCAACTTGCGCCCCAGCCTGCGGATTCTCATGGCCATCCTGAGGAGAGCACGCACCTCAGGCAGAGTTCGAGGGGGGGGGGAAGGGCGACGAATTGAATAGGATCGATTAGGTGTGTGTGTGTTTTGAACACCAAGAGTCACTCTTTTAAGCTCGAACACCAAAACAAGTAAATTTTGGCCGACTCCAGTTTCCCTTTAGGCAATGTGGTGTCTAGCAGACCACCGCTGTGTGAACTGAGCAGGGTCACTCTGTAGCGCCGCGCCTCTTTCTTCCAGCCTGCGTGCCTGCGCGAGCAACTGCCGGGACCGAAACTGACTTCTGTTCACTGCTCATTCAATTGCGCCAGAGCAAGCCTCTGAGTCATGATGACTAATGAAAATTCGCGCATCTCCCGTCAAGCCAAAATTAGGATCGTTTCGATGGCCCGTGTTCTTCACATCCAGACCCTTTCTCCGAACAGCTCAAGTTGCATTTTTTACTTTCACCCCAGCCTGGCCATTGGTCCCTGTCTCAGGGCTCAAAGGACCCTGGTCAAGCGCGGGACTTGATTGCAATGTCTCGAATTCTTGTGGCTGAAAAAATATGAAACATTGCCAACATAAGAGGAATAGAAATCCAAAGAGCAACAAGAGATCAAATTCTGCCTTTGCCTCTAGCATCGCAAGCCATCAGAGTGCTTCTGTGTGTGCGCAATATATCCAAGCTTCAATCCCTGTTGCCTTGTGAGCTGCCATGAGCCATGTCAGCCAAGTCGGCTGAGTGTTGTGCTGGCTTGTGTTGGGTCACTGATGATGTTTAGTACTGGCTTAGTACTGGTTCGTCCTCCCGAAGGACCTGGAGAACTATCCATTGCAACTAAGTGGAAGGAACAACTGAACAGCAAGCTTGAGAATGTGTTGCATCCATGTGCGTCAATCCTCTGCTGATGTCCGAAGAGGCTGAAGAAGTCGCTGGGATCTTCACCAACGACGCTTTCCCACTTGCTCTCATGCTTCCTTGCGCGTTGTTAGCTGGCTGAGATGTGAGGCAAAACAAGAACTGCTGGGCAGCTGCCAATGTGATGCCTGACAGAAGCGCATGGAACACCTTTTCGAAGCTGCGATGTTTGCCGGGTCCAACTTCATGAGACTTGGGCATGAAGGAGCTGCGCAAGCTCGCTCCCGGGGCATCTAGCCACGAGCAAAGGCTGCCAACCACTAGTCACTAGCGTTAGACAACCAGTAAAGCTGGTAAAGCTGAAACGTCTCTGCATTCTGCCTTGCTACGACACGCAGCAACTTTGGCTGGATTCTTCCTCTTCTTCCTCCTCCTCCTCGTCGGCCACACCAGCCTGAAGAGTTGTCAGTGACCCCATCCCCCTCTTCCCAAATTAGATGGGACAACTGGGAGGTCCATCCCTTTTGTTATGGAACTTGGGCTCCCTCAAACCACCGTTAGACCGTAGAAGTTCAACTTCGACGATTCTGGGAGGCCCATGTTGTCCCAAACCAACAGTAGACTTCCAATATTGACAGCGACTTTCGTGCTACCGCCTGGATGCCAGGAACGGCTCGGCCTGCGGGAAATGGTGGCGCCCAATTCTGATTGGTCAATCAGCATGCCCTGCATCCACAGCTTGTTCAATGTTCCCATCTCCAACCGGCCTTGCAAGGGGCACTTCTCTTGCACCACCAACAACAACAACAACAACAACAACAACAACAACAACAACAACAACAACAACAACAACAACAACAACAACAACAACAACAACAACAACAACAACAACAACAACAACAACAACAACAACAACAACAACAACAACAACAACAACAACAACAACAACAACAACAACAACAACAACAACAACAACAACAACAACAACAACAACAACAACAACAACAACAACAACAACAACAACAACAACAACAACAACAACAACAACAACAACAACAACAACAACAACAACAACAACAACAACAACAACAACAACAACAACAACAACAACAACAACAACAACAACAACAACAACAACAACAACAACAACAACAACAACAACAACAACAGCAACACAACAGCAACAACAACAACAACAACAACAACAACAACAACAACAACAACAACAACAACAACAACAACAACAACAACAACAACAACAACAACAACAACAACAACAACAACAACAACAACAACAACAACAACAACAACAACAGGACAGAAGAACACATGGCTTCCCTTTGTCTTCCCCCCGCCACTAAAATAATCCATGTTGTCCCTTTGACTTCCCCCCACCAGGGTTGTTGTTGTTGTTGTTGTTGTTGTTGTTGTTGTTGTTGTTGTTGTTGTTGTTGTTGTTGTTGTTGTTGTTGTTGCATGGCCAGCATCCTTAAATGCGCGACCTCCCTCTTATCAGTAAACCCTAAGCAAAACAACACTCATCCCAAATGAATATTCATGCAGCCTATTCCCACCCTAGACTCCAACCCGAATTCAACTCTACATCCACTCCAAAGTCCTCCGACGCCCACCCTGATCAACCTGAACAAACTTCAAACCAAACCTAAACCTCAAACCAACCCTGCGCCAAAACAAACCAACCTGGCCGCCATGCCAACCCAGCTCCAAAGCCACCCTCAACCGACCCTGAGATCCTTGGAGAAACAAACGCCGCCCTTTCCACATCTCGCTCCGAGCCTTTCTGGCTCTTGGCTTTGGGCCGCCGCAGCTTGCCCCTATCTGCAGGCCTATCTGAGACCTGGCCAGACAGGTTGCAACTTGCACACGTAGAAGCCGCCCTCCAGCCACTACCCAGCCGGCCTGTGGCCTGTCTGATTGTTCAACTTCCTCCTGCGCCATACATTCCATGCCATTCAGCAACATCCTCTCTCACAACGGAGATGTTCCTCAGCCTGTTGAGGTTCAACCTAGTCCGGGGGTTTTCTTACCTGATCTCGCGTGTCTCTACGCCCAGGTCTCCGGTGGAGGCTTTTGCTGACCCATTGCGGCTGCCACCTGTGAGCGGTGCAAGACACATCTGTTTGCCAATGACAATGAGCAGCCGGCCAGGACGGTCACGATGTCGTGCAAAACGGACATGACCTCGCGTCTTGGGGTCGGAAAATATCCCAAAAGGATAAACGTGGGGGTGGGGCATGATTCGCTGGATGGGGAATTCTGTGTCCTGGTCACAATTACTCCTCCTGCACTGCCAACATACCAAATGCAATCCCTCAAGCAACCCACTGCTCTGAGCTAATCCTTGATCGGCAATCAAGGGAAGCCACCACTGAAAGCTTCAGGTGGCGCTGGGCGGGTGCTGCGGCCGCGGCAAGTGACAGGAAGCTCCACAATGCCACCAAAGCCCTCCAAAGCCCAGCGGCACGTGCCTGGCCCGGGAAGTCGTCCGAGGGGCTGGGAGGCTTTGTGCCGTATGCAGCTCAGGAAACTCATTTTACGCTTTGTTCCCTGCTGCAAACATGAGAAACATGTCGAATCAGCAACCAACACCCTGAGAGTTCAGCAAAATGGGTTGAAAGTCCAAGCTTTGGCTGCAACAATATTCAGCTTGGGCTCTGGAACCTCCACGGCAGTACGCCGCGGATGCTCTGTGCTGCCCCCAAGCTGTGCATCCCGCGTGGGTGATCTCTGCAAGGTACAAGTTTACACCGTGAATATAAAACAATATAACATCAGCACCTGCGGGAAGAACTGCCAGCACACTGCAAGTGCCTTCTTACCAAAAAACAAACCACACATTTTGCCTTCTTTCCAAACACAGAGCTAAATTCATGTGTCGCAGTCCGGTGGCACAAGCGGCACCCAACAAAACCCAGAGAGGCAATTTGATTAGCAGCTGTCCTGAAAGGCGATCTCATCTCCTGGTTTGAAGGTGGGTGTGAGTCTAGGTTAAGCAGACACGATCAATCGATCAATATGGGTATGTGTCAAAAAACTTGGGGACCCCCTAAAATGGGTGGCTCCTTTTTGGTTTCCCTTAAAACCCAGCCCAACAAGGGTGTCCTCAAACCACACAACCTGTATTCAATCCCCAAATGACATGTGATTTGTGGTTTTCCCAGTTCCTCAGTGTTTTGGGGAGTGTACCAAATGTCATCCACTCTGCCATAAATGACCAAACATGTTGATCAATTGCTGCTCAGGTGGGGACGCGTCTGGGTGGGGGTTTCTGTCCACCACCTTTGAGAGAAAGCTCCCTGATAAGAATCAGAGCCAAATCCCTTTGGGCCTTCTGGTCAGGCTCACTCGCTGCCTGGGCAAGCTGTGAGCCGATGTGAGTGCCGCTGTGAAAGGGGACTGCAGTCTGTGTGCTCAATCTCAATTCACTTGTCACATGTCTTTGAGCACTGAATCTGGCCACGGAGCAAAAACATGAGAATCCTTCCCCCCATGTATTGTGTTTGAGGCCCCTCTGATTTCCTGTGTTCCATGAACAAGCAATGAATCCACACTCTAGTGACTCACCCAATGCCATCTTGACGGCCAAAAAGGGTGTGCTGAAACACACCAAACGGAAGCCAGCCATTTTAGGGGACCCCATTTTTGAGCAATGGCCAGCGACCAAGCCACACCCCTTGCATGCTCCCGCCATCCCTGCTCTGGCGCCTCGATAGGACTCGCAGCAAGGAGCCTCTTTGCCTGACGATATGCATTTGGGTTTCTCAGAATCCCTGAAATGGTTCACTTCCTTTGTACGTGGCCTTTAAACCAACTTAAAATGACACAAATTTCTGCACATTGTACGATAATTCCAAAAGCTGCATGATGGGACCCCCAAATAAAGGGTCCTTATCATGGTGAGCTCGTTTTACTTTCAGGTGAGCTCGCCATAAATAGGCAGAACATATGAACATCGAAACTGTGTGAGGCCCCACTTGTAAGGGAACCGCTCGGTTGCTCTTCAACAGCATCCCTTTTGCACAGTCAGTGCTAAGGGCGCGCTTCGTTCGCTGCGGCCATGGAACGTCACAGGTTGTAGTCTTGTGTCTGATCGATGGCCATGGCTGTGGCTCAAAATTAAGCAGGAGCGGCGCGGGTTTTGGTCCATGTTTCCACTTACCAGGGCAACCCATTTTGGTACCTTGTTGTTTTTTGAGCCACAGCCACATGGAAATCAGAGCAGTGTCAAACCCCATGCGGCCCTTCAGTTTGCCACTCCTCCGCTGCCAGGCGCCGGAGGTCCGACCGTCCAGCTCCGCCTTGCGCGTGGGCCTGGAATCAAAGCGCGGCGAACCGCGCGACGGGGCTTTCAATGTCACCGACGTGTCGCGTTGTAAAACCGTCAAGTGTTGGCTTCCCTTGCTTTCCCTTCGGGTTTCCGTAACAAAGACACCTTGATGCAAACTGGGCGCAAAATGGCACGAGTGCGAACTCGTCTATGAATCCCTTGGGACAATATGCCAGGCGAGGTCAAGGCGCGAATAGAGCCTAGACTCGGGTGAGCAGGCTGCCTCGCAACTTGGGGCGCGGCGCCGGCTATGGCAAGAAGAAGCTCCCAGGCTCTATCCTGACGCGACTGGGCACATTGCGCTTGGGGAAGGCGGCTGCAATCCATAGTGACAGGGACAAGCGTCCCTCAAGACTCTCCCTTTAAACCTACCCTGGGTGTTTGCATTTCTGCATTTAACGGCCCTCCTCAGGCGTCATAGCAGCGGTGGCTGCAGCCTGACTGGTGGGCAGTCACTAGAACATATACGTGCCCCTCTCACCTGCCCAACCACGTCTTCCGCGATGCAGAAAAACCACACTGTTTGGTACGTGTCCAAACATATGTATGCTACT